CTCATTACCAAAGTCTCAATCTACAGGCCAGAAGACATTTAAAAAAAAACACCTTTTCTCTAAAGTTGTTAGATTTCTTTGATTCCCTCTGTAAGTGTGTTTGGTATACAGAGTGCTAAATCAAAGTAATTATTATGTAACACTAAAGAACTTTGCTGAGAATCCCAGACTTTAAAGGTAAATTGCTCTTTCTGTGAAAAATCAGTGTTTCTAAATTTTAGAAATTTAGTGGTTATTTATGGGTCTAAGGAAGGTTGGGCAATCCTACTTCCGTAGTGATACTGCCTCGGAAACCCAATACTGCTATGAGTCGGGGCCGACTCCACGGCACATAACAACAAGAAGTTAAAACAAATTAGAAAGTGCCTCTTTCATAGCAAATATTGATAGTACAACTATTTAAATTATGTATTTTATTATAAGACATACCTGAGAGTGGTGCCTTCCCTATCTGAAATGCAATTGGTGACAAAGTGGGTGAAGAAATAGGTGAATGACTAGCTATGCTTCCCAAACTGTATTTTTTCCCATTTTCCTGAATTGGGCTAGAAGAAAACTGCGCCTGTGATTAGAAAACAAATCAAATAGATAAATACATTTGTATTTGGCTTCCTTAACTCTGTTATACTTGCTAATTATCTACACCTTCAAAACACATTTATAAACTAAGAATCATTCAAAAGAACCATTAAAAGGCATCTTGTAATAAATACAGTTAAGAAGATTGTTATTAAAATTCTGAAATAGAATGTTAGTCATATATCAATGCAGTTATGTTAAAATAAATTTTATAGCAAGCAACTATTTGTGAAAATTTTTTAAATAATTATTTACTTCTTCAGACATTAATGGCAATCTATTCATGCTACTCTGGAAGTCTTACATAATTCAGTAAATAATGATAAATTTGGTCATCATAAATAACTTTAAATAGAAAATAAGAGAGTGTGACCCAAAACATCCCTATGACTAAGGGCCATCTGTGAATTAGGTTAAACCTCATAAAATATAAAACCCAAAAGACAACTATTCAAAAAAAAGACAACTGTTCCTCTTAAGTGCAATATGACCATCTATATCCAAGAATGTCTACAGCAAACCAACCAGCCACTGCTAGAACATTTCTTACCGAACTTGGTGTCTGCGCAGGGCTCTTACACTGTACAGGAGATAAATCAATTGAATAAAAAACCTCAAGTGATGCTTGAGTACCACTATGAGGACTTCTGGGAGAAGCTGGAGACAAGGAGTCAGAGATACTTCCGTTCCCATCTAAAAACAGCTTTCTTCGGAGAGATGAAGAACTGAGATTTTCAGGAGACTGATCTGCCAATTCATCAGCTCTAAAATAGTCACCTATATTAAATGTTAACAAAATAAAAAGTAAAGCTAATTGTTCTGAAAAGCAATTATACTAGAAGTAATCTGACTTTTAAAAATCCAGCACGTATTAAATGTCTGAATTTTTTAAAATGTCAAAGTTTAACTGTATGTGTGATGTTTTCAATCTTAAAATCATTCCTTCTTTTCTGAGTGCTTCATTGTTAGTATTGTTGTTGTTATTATGTGCCATCGAGTCAGACCCGACTCATAGTGACCCCTCCTTGGGTTGCCGAGGCAGTATCACTACGGAAGTAGATTACCCAACCTTCCTTCCAAGGAGTGGATGGTGGGTTTGAACGACCAGCCTTCTGGTTAGCAGTCAAATGCCTTAGGCACTATGCTACCAAAAGCTCCCATTGTTAGTATAGGTAATACATGTGTCCCATGAGCAGTTTGGGTCGACAGGAAAGTTCCTTACGATAGAAAGCAAATTCAGGGCATGTTAAAGAAAAGAAGACATTGTCTCCACTTTTAGAAAGAGGTATTAATACAGATTCCTCTTTACAAATAGCCAGCAAAAGAAAACCTTCTATGTTAGTTATTAAAAGTTCAAATAAATACAATATTTACCTAATATATTTTCTAAGTTAAAATCCACAGGAAGAGACAGCAATGTCTGACAAGCAGCTGGAAGCAAACAAACAAATAAATACAAACATGGATAAATCAATGAAAGCATATTACATGCAAATTAGCATGTGCATCACAATCTACCATCTCCCCATGATGTCCCAGCCAAAAAATTATTTCATCTCTACATTCTATCACACACCATGCTACCTTTTTACAAGTGGTTTCCCACACCTTCAAGCACAACGACATAAACCTGTTAATAGTAAAGGTTACCTCCTGGCTGTGGTGCTTGATTAAGAAGGAAACCAGCCTATATTTAGGGATAGGTTTCTTAATATTAATATTTTTCTGAAGAATGCTTTCCAGAAGCAGAAATCAATTCACATGCTTGGAACAAGAAAATACTATACTGCTGCTATGTTTAAGGCATAGCTAGATGTATCTATTCTAATATACTTGTATTTAAAAGTCAATTCTCCTAATACAGAGTTATGCAGTTCATTCACAGAAAGTAAATAAAGCAATTCCAGAGTTAAGTGTTACCATATGAACTGATTTCAAAATCAAATGCAGCCTAATGTGGTACATGTATCGTTTCAGATTGTGCTCATACCCACCATTGCTTTTCTCAGAATGAACGGTCAACTTCCTTCCAATTGGAGATTCACTATTTATATTTATACCTGGAAAACATTTTAAAAGAAAAGCCTGTATTTATATATATTCTTCATTTACTTTAGGATTACTTCTTCCAGAGTAAAAAAACAAAGTGGAAACTTTTATTTCACAATATTTAATAAATAATTTTTAAAATGTCTACATATATAAGTATATATTTTGGCATGTCTCTGGTTCTTTTTGTTTAACCTTTGAAGAAACACAAGGATAAAACTAGAAGGATTACCACAGCAAATGAAAAACAAAACACCAAACTCAATGCCACTGAGTCAATTCTGACTCATAGCCACCCTACAGGACAGAGTAGAACTGCCCATTAGGGGTTTCAAGGCTGCAAATCTTTACAGAAGCAGACTGCCACATCTTTCTCTCATGGAGCGGCTGGTAGGTCTGAACCACCGAACTGTCAGCAGCATAGCACTTAACCACTGTGCCAATAGGGCTCTGTACCATAGTAAATAAGGAGGCATCAAATAATTTTTAAGAAAACCTTAGTTGCTCTCCATAATGTCAACCTTAAAAGGTTTAAGGATGCTCAGAAAAGGAAGGGGTGAAAATGGTGACACAACTCACAATATGTAATCAATGTCACTGAATTGTACACATAGAAACTATTGAATTGGTGTATGTTTTGTGTACATAGTGTACATTCACAGTAATAGCAATAAAAATTTTTAAGAAATTTTTTTAAAAAGTTAAGAATACATTTTAGCCATCTTCAATCTCCTCAAAACATTAAGGATATATGTCTTCTAAGACTTAACTGTTTTTCCAAAATAGATTTAGATAAATTGTGTGAATTATTTTCACAAAACCCAAAACTTGATAAATAAAATCATGCTCATTTTATTCCTCAAAAGAAGTTGCTGTTCTTTCTAGAGTGGGAGAAAAATGTGGAACAAAACTCAAAATCACATAAAAGACCAGACTTACTGATCTGACAAAGACTTGTGAAACCTCTGAGACTATACAGCCCCAGTAAGCCTTCAGGTCTGGAATTGAACTTATTCCTGTAGCTTCCAGCCAAACAGTAGACAGGCCTAGAAGGTGAACATTTATACCAGGTAGGTACATTCCTTAGAACAATCAATCATGGGAGATCAGAAGAGCAGTATTTGCACAGGGAGATAGATAACTTGGGGTAGGAAGGCATAGGAAAGAAGGATAAAGGAAAGGGATAACTACAGAGGAAGTGAGAAGAGAGTTGTTCCACTATGGGCATTACAGTCAATGTCACAAAACAAAATGTGTATGATGAACTGCTGTGTGGAAAATGAACTTGCTCTATAAACTTTCACCCAAATCATAATAAAAGAAATAAAAATAAAAAGGAGTTATTGTTATGCTCTTAATAACAATACAAGTAATTTTTTAACAATCTAAAGTTAATGATCAAAAATTAAGCCTCAAAACTAGAGTATCACCACAGAAAAAAACTAAAACAACAAAAATGACTAATGCCTTCTTTGCTGTAGGCAACAGGACCTTCTGTGAGACAAATATTTAGGGTTTCACTGTGTATAACTCTGTAACATCCAAGGTCTTTCAGATGAAGTCGAAGACCTTGGGCTTATGAGGGCCTTCAAAATCTCATCTACTTCTCCAGCATGACTGCTCTCCAAATAAGTATTATTTGTTTGAAGACCCTGAAAATACCAAGTTCTGTCCTACCTCCAGATATTTCTCACATACTTTCCTCTATGGCTTTCCTAACACATCCCCTAAGTCTGGCTAACTCAAGTCTCAGCTTAAATTTTATTTTCTACAGCATGCCTTCCTTGGCTTCCTTAGGCAAGACTTCAAATGCACAAAACATTATCACAACACTTTTCAATTCTATCATGTTTCCTCTGGTGGTGCCTAAGGCATCTGACTGCTAACCAAAAGGCTGGTGGTTCAAACCCAACAGCCACTCCTTGGAAAAGTGGGCGATCTACTTCCACAGTGATAATGCCTCGGAAACCCAAGGAGGGGTTGCTATGAGTTGGATCTGACTCAACGGCAGGGAGTTTGGTTTTTCTCCCTAAAAGAACTTCTAAAACAAGCTCAAGACCACAACCACGTGAGGAGAAAAAAAAAAAAAACTGCTGGATTTGATTACACCAAAATAATCTCTATGCAGCCAAGTACATCAAAAGGAGCTCTGGTGGTACAGTGCCTAAAGCATTTGACTGCTAGCCAGAAGGTTGGGGGTTCAAACCCACAGCCACTCTGTGTTAGGAAAATGAGGCAATCTACTTCCATAAATATTTACTACCTTGGAAACCCCATGGGAGTGGCTATGAGGTAGAATTGACTCGATGGCAGTGCGTTGGGTTTGGTTTTAAGTACATCAAGAAATAACCTAACATGCTCTGGTAGCATAGTGCCTAAGTCACTTTACTGCTAACCAGAAGGCTGGCAGTTCAAAGCCACCAGCTACTCCTCGGAAGGAAGAGTGGGTAATCTACTTCCATAGAGACACTGCCTTGGAAACCCATGGAGGGGTCCCTATGACTCAGAAGTTACTTGATGGCAGTGAATTTGGGGTTTTTTGGTAGCATATGAAGAAATGAACATTAAAACAGTTACTGAAAATGTCAAACAACCTATTAGGAAAAATCTTGAAAGCTGGATACTGCCAAGTTTTGGCAGAGATGGAGGATTAGGAGCCCTCGGCACTGTTAGTGGCCATGTAGACTACTGCAGCTTTTCTGGAGAGCATCTGGCATTACAGAGTCAAACCAGGTAAATATATATCCTTTAATTGAGAAATTCTCTGCCTATATTTACATCCCAAGAAATTTTCACACATCTCCACAGATAAAAACAAATGAGGATATTCACTGAAGCGTATTTGTAATGGTGAAGAGCTGAAGTATACTATACATATATGAGTGAGAGAACAGAAGGTAAACACAGAGGGTAAATTAGAAGTGCAGACTGGATGTTCACAGAGCAAGCTGGATGAACAATAAAGCTGGAGTGCTGAATGAAAACATAAGGAATAGAAGAAGACAGTGCCATTTATATAAATTAAAAACGCATATATACCCCTAAGTATGTGTATTTTACAAGAACATCTAAAAGTACTGATAAACCCATTAGAATGCTGCCTATACCAAAAACCAAACCCACAGCCATCGATTTGATTCTGACTCACAGAGACACTACAGAACTGGGTATCCAAGCCGGTAATCTTTACAGAAGCAGACTGCCACATCTTTTTTCCCAGAGTGGTTGGTGAGTTCAAACTGCTGGCTTTTTGGTTAGCAGCTAAGCGCTTTAACCACTGTGTCCACAGGGTTCCCCACAGGGGTGTGAAAAAAAGAGTGGAGAGTTCATAATCAGGAACCAATCAATCAAGACAAAAGAAGGAAAAAAAAAAGTTTCTTGTCAGAGTGTAAGTTAAGTTAAGTTATACACTGTGAAGTGTGTAGGTTTTGGCATCAGACAACTGGGTTCAAATGCTATTTCTGTCATTTCTTAGTTATGTGACCTGGGCCAAGATTCTTTGTTTGTAAAATGGGTAAAATAACAGTACATACCACAAAAAGTTGTTGTGACCTCATGGGATGATTATGAGATTAAATAAAATAATCATGTGAACTGCATACAAAGAACCTGGCAACAAATAGTACATCTTCAAACAATGTGAGGTAAGAGGACTAACTTTGGAGCTAGAGGGTTGAGTTCTAATCCCAGGACAAGTTATTTAACCTCTCTGTGCCTCAGTTGCCTCATCTGTAAAATGAGGAAAATATTTACTACAGCCCCAGTAGACTTAAAAAGGGAAAAATTGAAACAATAAAATGAATATGCTTGATTAATTAAATATATATATGGAACTCTGTGCCCTATAAACATGGTATGGAGCCCTTGTGGCACAGTGGTTAAAATGCTCAGCGGCAAACCAAAAGGTTGGTGGTTTGAACCCACCAGCTCCTCCACGAGAGAAAGATATGGCAATTGCTTCTGTAATTATAGACTAGGAAACACTATGGGGCAGTTCTATGCTGTCCTATAGGGTCGCTATGAGTTGGAATTGACTCGATGGCATACAACAACAAAACAGAATGTAAGTTTCTTTTGAATGTCCATGAGATAGTTATAAAAACTGATCATATAGTTGGCCCCCAAATACCTCAATAAACTCCAAAGAGGATAAGTTGTATAGGCTACAGAGTAATTAATAAGAAATTAACAAAAAGATAGTCAGGTATACTATTAAATAACTTCTATGTCAAAGGTGAAATCAAAACTATATTTATATATAATTTAGAAAACAGTATCACTAATAATATTATATACAAAAACCTTTGGAATGTTGCCAAAGTTGTACCCAGAAGAAAAATTAACAACCTTAAGCACTCTCATTAATAAATAACTAATAAATAAGCACTCAACTCTAAATGATAGAAATGCATAGAGATTAATTATGAGTGTGAGTTCTACAGCCAGGGTGCCTGAGTTCAAATCTCAGCTTTGTAATCTTGGGAAAGTTACTTAAGTCTTGCCCCTTGGTTTCCTCATCTAGAAATGAGAATATTAATAGTATAGTATCTTTACAGGGTAGCTGTGAAGATTATATGAGACAATGCATATGATACTTAGAATACTACACCTGGCATGTAATAATACATGTTAGTAATTACTGTTATTGAAAAATAGCAAAATAAGTGCTTTGTAAAAAAAATTAAATAAAAGACATTAGTAAAGAAGATACAAAACAAAAACACAATTATACTCAGAGTTAAGAATGTTAATTAGAAAGTAATTCTAGATATTCAGGAAACTTGATAGATAAAAGTAGAAAGAAGAAAAACGTATCAGAGAAGGGGAATAATAAATGTGTGTGTGTGTGGGTATGTACATGTGCATGCATGTGCTGCATCAGGGAAGGGGTGTGCAAGTAAAATTACACACACACATGCCTCACACACCAGGTCCTACCACTTACACTTAAACACACACACACACAAACACACAGATTGGGCAATCTACTTCCATAGTGATACCGCCTCGG